CTTGTTTAATTTCTCGTTCTTCTTGTTTCTTTTGCTGTTCTTCTATTGCTGTCATGAAATCTGCTAAGCTGTAGTTTGATTTGCCACCTCTCATTTCCATCTTCTTTTTTTTTCATCCCACTTCTGACACCAATTTGTTACGTCTGTGTTCGTTTGTTAATTTTCCGTTGAAATTCTTTCAGAAGAAACTTCTGCAATAGAAGTCCTTTCTTAAATAAAACTAGTTTATTTTTTCTCAATTCAATTTTGCAATACACTTAATTTCAACAGTCACTTTCACTTAAATTCACGCTATAATTCACAATGATTCACACAGTTTACTTACGGTGCCTGCTTGACTCGATTATCCGTGTCTATATCTTCAATCTCTATCTGAAACTATATTCTTGCCGTCACTTTATTTTCCGGCTTATATACTATAAAAGTGTACATCTCGTCTCTTAGTGAATCTTCTAGATACTCATCACGTGTTACTAGCGTCACGTGACTTCCGCTGTCGTAACAATACTTTCTCTTTTTTAAAGCAATATTATTTTTGTGTTTTCATATTATAACTCCTGAAAATAAAAATACTTATTTGGAAATACGGTTACAGTGTATATAATTGGTGGTGTTGGGTATTATGGAATAATTGCCTTTCCTGTCGTATTTCAGTTCAAAATTAGGGATAGCTAGAGCAGGTAGCCCTTGTGTGGTTTTGTTAACCTGCCCTGAACCCATAGGGAACTCATGGTACCTCTATACACCTAACTCTTCCAAAAATTCTTGAACTTTGCCCTGGTGGTTTTAGTCTTTGCTACTTTGTCAGGTTTTCTTATTTTATTTATCTCACAAAAAATAGGACAAAGAAACTGATCAAACTTCAATTTTATAGAAGTCCCACTTTTTATTGAATAATAGTATCACAAATATGGAAAATAAGTATTGATCTGCAAAGAATTGCAATCAATTTTTCCTTATTGCTGAGTCCCTTGGTGGGTCAGCAGTAGGTTTATGTATGGACTTATAATGTTAAAATTCAGTATTTAGTTCCCCATGGTAAACAGAGAGCTTATAGACGAATATGTAACTTTGTACAAAAACTAACTCGTTACTGACCTAAGCTGATCATACACTTGTCGATCTGTAACAAAAAACCCCAATACTTGAAAAACAAATTCCACTATTTAAAAATATATGAAAAATGACACATTACACGATGAAATTACAGGTTTCCTCAGTTGTTTTTACATGACAAAACAACCAATTTATGATACTTCAAATAATGATTAAATTAAACTAAATGTTTACAAAAATATAATATAAACAGTGTGTGTGTGTCTATATATATAAGAAAACACTTCTTTTGCAAGTTTTGTGACTTCAAAGTTCACTCTTCAGGATATAATTTTAATGCAAATCTATAACAAAAACTGTACAAATGCTGTTTTTCAACTAAACATAAATATAATAAAAATTTAATACATATATTTCCTAAATTACAAATATATAATACACTCTATGTATAAATTAAGTACATTAAAATGCTCAAAAATTGATAAAATTGGTCATTATACTTTCCTTTTTAAATTAAAATCTTATTCTAATTATAATTTCTCTTATTATTATAGAAATGCAATTTATATATCCTATAATTTCAAAGGAGAGAAAAACTATAATAGTCTGATATTCCAATTTTTATTCTTCTTGGTTTCCATAGGTGAATCTTATTGATACACACACAAAAAAGGATGTTTAAACGAATGTGAATGTTTAGGTACTTGAAATATCCTAAAAAATTTAAATATTCATTCTTAAATGCAGTGAGAAGATGTTGGGTTGTTAACCTGAAGCTCGTTTTTAGTCATTAAATAGTTATTTTCCACAATCTATAAGTTGTTCCAATTTTTGGTTGACACAAGGTTAGTTGCATAGATTTTGAACATACTCAAGTAATTAAAAAATACATTTAATTTGTTAAATACGTTTGAGAGTATTTGGCCCTCATCTTTAATTTTTCTCTTTAAAGTTTTTCTTAAATTTTAGAATGATGTTATTCTGTATACAGCTGGAGTAATGTAAGTCAGTACAAATAATTTCTGTAAACAAAAATTTACTTTTCATTGTGAAATTTGAAGTCAGAATATGTACAGTAAATGTTATGTAACATTTCAAGTTTCTTCAATGATTGTTCCAGATGCTGTATCTTAATAACATTCCTTTGAACAAACCCCAACAACAAATGAAAAACTACACTTTTAAAATGATAACAGATTGTGAGTGAATCTTTTGTTTGGGTATTGTATCCTGTAATGTGTAGGAGGTTGCATAATTGCCAAGAATCTGTTCATACTCCTTAATGAACAAACTTTCATCAGTGAGTTACATACACCCTCTTTCTAGCTGTCTCTCTCTCTCCACATATACTGTATAATATTTTTGAGTTTGCGAGAATAATCTCTCATGAACAATAGTTTATTTGGGGAGGTTAAGCCTCTTATATGTGCCTCCCTGAAAATGATTTACATCTCCCAAATTCGTCTCGTACAGTTTCTATTTAGCTTTTATTCACAATAACATGCATCTTTGTATAATTGTATGTAGTATCCAACAATCTCTTCTAGTGTGAAAAATAAACACTTCTTTATGAAGCTACAAATAACTGCATTGTTTGAAGGAAATAGTCTTAACATTGTTTTGTTTCTTATATCTTACAAAAAAAAATGTTCTTCACATGAATTTTTGTAATA